TCCCAAGAAATCAATGAGTGAAATGAAGGGCACATTACTTTGTTGTATCTACCAAGGACTCTAGGGTTTGAGTCTGAGCTTTGTAGGCTCAAGTTCCTAGTCAGTACATGAAGAATGGATTTATCAGTCAGAAGCAGACTAGTATTAACAAAGCTCTCAAGATTGACAGGTAAAGGCAAAATGCTAATGTCCTGATTTCCAGTCAGACTTACAACCTGATTTGCAAGCAAATATTCAAGTTGTCCAGCCTTTGCAGCCTCTCCACATAGATAAGCCACCACACACCAATTTATGATCAGAAGGTTGCTTTGGGATTTAGAGCTGTTATGTGATTCAAATGTGTAGTGCTGTCAGACTCTGCTTTAGTAGTGGTAATCGACATTTGCTACTTGGAATGAAACGATGGATGTGTACAAGGGTATATGCCCCCTAGACAGTGTTTGGGGGGTCCAGACTTTACAAGACAACACAACTCTCTACAACCAACGGCTGTCATCAATTTTCTGTTTCATCTGGCTACAATCTAAGCCTGCTGACCTGAATCCTATCCTATTCTTTAAATCCTATTTCTTTAAATGCTGTTATATACCTTTTATGATTCATAGCGAATGCGATCCAAAAAATTTAACTCACAGGATGAAATCTTATACTATTTCCAAGGGTTTTAAGAAAAGCCACATGGTAACCTATACTAATTAAAAATTATATTACTAACATTTAGTTAGAGCTGTATGTCAGGCACTTTTCTAAGCTCTTACATGTATTAATTCATTTCATCTTCCCAGTAATTCTATGAAGTAGGTATTCCTACAACACTTACATTACAAATAAGGAAACTGTGGTACAGAAAACTTTTTGTCCAAGTAGTAAAGATTGAGCTAAAAGTCAGTTCAGGAGGTCGAACTCCAGAACTTATGTTCTTAATCATTATGCTTTAATACCTCTCTAGACTCACTACAAAAGCTAGAAAAATCAATATTCATGTAATACCTGTCCTGAGGATTTTCTGTAATTCTGCTCAAACCACCAATAACCCAGTCACAAACAGGCAGGCGTGCTGGGCTGAGGTGGAAAACTTCAGTACATGCTGGATCCCGTAGCTTTGGCCCTTGACCAGTCACCCACTCCCTGTTACCTAGGACCTCATACCAAACATAAATTCTGGGATTATCTTACCTGGGATGTTCCCACCTCTCACGGATGAACTAAATTGGGGACTCATAAAGAGAATTATCACATAATCTAGCAACTGCATGTCTGGGTCTCAAATAGGATCTCAAAGAGAGCGGTATTTGTGCACCTATGTTTACAGCAGCATTATCGACAATAGCCAAAAGGTGGAAGCAAATCAAAAGGCCACTGACAGATTGACAGAATGGATAACACGAGGTGGTACATACATATGGAATATTATTTGGCCGTAAGAAGGAAGTTCTGACACATGCCGCATATGGAGGAACCTTCAGGACATTATGCTTGCTAAGTGAAATAATCCAGTCACAAACAGATGACTACTGAATAATTCCATTTATATGAGGTACCTAGAGTAGCCAGATACATAGGGAGAAAGATGGTTGCTGCCAGGGCCTGGAGCGAGGAGAAAATAGGAAGTTATGGCTTATTGGGTACAGAGTTTTGGTTTTACAAGATAAAAAGAGTGCTGGAGAGGGATGTTGGTACCAATGTGAATATGCTTAATACCACTTAATTGTACATTTAAAAGGGGGAAGTGACCGTGGCTCAAGGACTAGGGTGCCGGTCCCATATACCAGAGGTGGTAGGTTCAAACCCAGCCCCAGCCAAAAACTGCAACAACAACAACAAAAAATGTACAATTAAAAATGTTAAGATGGTAAATTTTATGTCATGTGTATTTGACCACAATAAGAAAAAATAGAATTACTAATTGACAAATACCGATCTCTGTAATACCAAAAACATACAGCATCTTTTGCAATAGACTAAACGGGCTGTCTGGCTAGTCTCAAAATACTGAGATAAAGCGAGAAAAGCTCATGTAAATAACTAAAAAACAAACAAATATCCCTTTAAAAAATCATTACCATAACAAAATTTTCTTTTAGGTTCACAATTCACAGTTCATTTCAAGCTATTGTATGGATTTACTTAAACCCTTAATACTTGGCTATAAACTTATAACTTATTTTTAGGAAAAAGGTAAGTATTATAGTTAGGAATAATGTGAAGGACTAACATGAACAGAAAGTGATGATTAAAAGCACAAGCTCTGGAGTCTAATATTCCCACTTCCCATACCAATTCACCACTTGCTAATTGAACAGCATAGGCCAAGTTATGTAGTCTCTCTGAGCCTTTACACATTCATAAAATGGGCACACTAATTCCTAGGCCCTAAAGCCACCTAGAGGATTAAAGAATGTAAATAAAGAGCTTATTTGCCAAGTGTCTGACATATAATAAACACTCCTATTGTTAATACCACTCATAGTGGTTACTACTAATAAAATATTATCAGGATAAGGATAAAGAGGAGAAGGGGACAGGGATTGAAGGATCTTTCAAATTTTATCAAAACTATGCATCTGGAAT